ATTAATAACCTCCTAGGAGCATAAAGTAGTATGGGGCGACTCACGCCCCGTAATTATGCCGGACGTATTCATCAACGATAAGGTCAGCGACGAACGAGGCTGAGAAGTGAGAAAAAAAGTAACAAAACTACAAAACCCATCGGGCTGCCTTTATTCCAGAGCCCGCCCAGCAGAGCCAGAATGATGCCGTCCAAGCCGAGAACTATCCTCTCATTGACCCCGAGCTCGAGAGAACCAGGCCATCGTTGCCTTTCACCCGGCAGGAAACGCTCTCAGCGAGCCTCGCGTTGCTCCCGCTGCTGCTTCCGGTGCTGCTGCTTCCGGTGCTGCTGCTTTGACTTCTTCTACTGCTTCGCCCCTCGGCAAGCTCGGTCGGCTCAATCAGCTCGGGAAACTCGAACAGCTTGATCTGCGTGGTCAAGAGACGTGTACGCAATCATTGTCTCTTTATATAAGATGCCCCCTGACGGTCCACTGCCGATGTTCCCGAGTCGGACGTGTCCAGTCTTGTAGCTTAAGACGCAGTGGGCAAGGGCCCTATCTCGGCTCCGAATATCATCTCTTTCTCCCATGATCTTAAACGCTTTTTCACAACACAAGGCTTTGAGAGCGTTAGGTATACCTGGGAGGGGTGGGGGAGGAGGGTGACGTTGAAGAAGCTAGAGGAGGTCTCAATAGTTATAGGTCAGCCTCCCCCATTTGTGTTGAATACCTTACCTTATTAGTAACCTTTTATCATTCTTGTTTCTCACGTAGACAAAATATAGTATGAAATCTGTCTTTAGGACTGATAATTCCTCCTATTTTAGAGCTTTCAGTCGAAGTATATTTATGAAAGCCATTGACAGAATACTTAAAAGCATCTACTATTATGTTCTGATTGTCGTCAACCTCTACGATCAAAGGAGAAGAGTAGGTCGGGGGCGCGAGGAGTGTACAAGCAGGCTTCTATAGCTATAGTTATCTTACGTTTAATAGTCCACAAGGTAGGCTGTAAAAGCTGAAGAAGTGGAGAAAGTAAAAAGAAAACCAATGTAAGTGAGTGAACCCACTTCGCTACTTTAGAGATGCTTTTCTTTATATTACGTTGTCTCTGTGTCTAAACTGACAGGCTCTTAAAAAACGGAAGAAAGCTCTAAGGCGGGCTATAGAGCCCCTGAATCACCCTAGATCTATAGTTCATCTCCCTAGCTAATCCGTACTCGATATATTTAACAAAATAACTCCGTCAGCTTTTCCGCCGCTGAGAAGAAAGAGACCCTTCAATTGGAGCCTAGAAATAGTTAATTACCCTATGCAGACGGATAGAGTGTGGGCCAGCCAGGACGTACTGCAATAGCGCATCGTACCGCTGTTTACAAGAAGCCCTCTTTAAGGAAGTGTAAGAAGAATGGGGAGTTAAGGGGGATTGAAAAAGGAGGGTGGGGGGCGGGGACAATAGAGCTTCATCTCTGGCCATCAGAACATTGAAGGCTGCTAGCAGGGAAAAGGTGGTTTTAGACGTAGATTCAACCCTCTCTCTTAATTTAGTTATCCCGTGATGGCGGCGTTCACTTAGGGACAGGATTCAAGAAAGCAATCGCTCTAGATATCTGACAGCGAGACGTTATCCCGTCTGCCTGCATATCCATCGTGTCCGCCTCAAGCTTAAGCCTGCACCTCGATTTAGGGGTTGGGAATAGTGTCTCGGTAGGGCAGTTGCTACGTTTTCTTCGTCCCTAGGCGACTGGGGAACCACCCCCGAACACCGCACTGCCATACAAAAAAAGCCATCGAATGTGCATGATTGGCATCGTTTCCCCTCCAAGAGTCGCAAAGATTGACTACAAGGGCAGCCCTTTGCATTTGGCATCAAATTGGATGGTGTTTGCACCAGCATATAATGTGTGGAATGTGGATCAATCTGCAACATCCCCCCTCTTGCTCTTTTCATGAAGATCGAATCTGGACTCTGCGTAGATGCGATAAACTTGACGACAAAAGAGTGCCACGTAGCCTCTTCTCACTGAATGTGCTGCGTTCTGCTCCTCTTTAGCGTTCGAGCAATCGCCAAAGGGCACCTCCAGCCTCGCTAAGCTCAGGGTTTAGAAGAGCTCATCAGGTCCGTAGCCTTCGGGGGCAGGTAGGCTACTAAAGGGATAAGGTATAGCGAATAATTAGTACATCATGTACCGTCGGGCACAAGCCTACCATCAGTGAACGTTACGTCGGGGGTCACAGACCATTACTCGGCTTTCGCGATGCTGCTCTCTCATGTAGCCGAGATGCTTCGGTTTATCGGACCTAACTCTTGTCATGTACACGTGGAGAGAATGACCTCGGCGCAAAGACGGGCCCGAGTTGTTACCCCTAAAGTCTGAACTCTGAAGGATGTCAGTCCCAGTTTGTGCTGAGACTCATGGGCATAAATTTAGAACACAAGCTATATCTTGCCTCAAGCCCACTGAGTCGTGAACGTGTGTAGAAATGCTTCTCGGCGGACAACCACTTGTCTGAGTGGCGGGTTGCGATAGCTTGCTGAAAGTGAATTGCTCGCTCTCGGGCTCAATGTCTTCGTGCTGCACTGATTCCAGTTGACGGATAAGCGCTGCAGTAAGCGATAAAAAAGGCCCTTGGGGTGCGTGACAGCTAGCCTCAGTAAAGTGAACCACCAATGACCCGTCGAAGCAATCCGTCTTACGGTGCTCTCCTCGCCACTCAGAGACGCCTCACGAGAGCTGTCTGTGGCTGACGGCTGCGGCACATAATCAGGAGAGTTGGTGGCTCTCGAACCCCTGAGATGGTGGCTGAAGAATCATCACTCTCCTGGAGCAGACCACAGCCCCTGAGTCACGAGCTCCCCGAGACCGTTTCTTCGATCGTCGGCCCGGGCTCGGTCATTGAGACTCGTAGCCCAACCTCTGATCGAGGTCAAAGGCCCAGATCGCCATGTTCACCATCATCTCGCTTCCATACCTTCTGGAAGCCTCGGGGGAAGACAGGCGTAATAAGAAGGAGGCCAGGGTGCTCGACGACGAGCCTGCCTCAACCAAATTGCCGGTACGTTTCGTGGCTCCCTAGTCTACCATGTACGGAGTAGAGGCACATGCCTGGTCAGACGGTAGCCGGCAGTCCAGCCGAGATGACCACGCAGCAGTCGTAATAAGGCCCGGGGCCGGGCTTGAGCTAGGTGAGAGTTTCGATGGACCGGCATCCAGGGGTACAAGTCCCCCGGAGACGCAGGAACGCATAAGGACTGGCGCAGTGCCCGTCAGTGTGGAGATGTACGCTTGGTCGCACTGTGAAGAGAGATCGACGAACATGCTGATGTGGGTGCCGAGCGGGCGAAGAGCTCACGTGCGAACACGAGCATGCTGGGGCGGACAAGGAGGCTGGTTTGAAAGAATCTTTCCAGAGCGCCCCACGATGCCAGGATCAGAATACCAAGAAGGGTAGCAGATTGTTGGGGTCTGAGTTCGCCAACTGGGAGCGACCACTTCGTACGTATTTTCGGAACAAAAATGCAGCGGTATTGCTGCTCTTGTTGCCCATGTTGCATTTACTGCCGGTCGCAGAGCAACACTGGCGAAGCACGCCTTATTGTTGAGCAGACTGCTGGTCGACAGGCTAGCAAATCAGAGAGAGAAACGGAAAAAACAGGATTTCAGTTTCGTTCCGGGAGCCAGGTTCGACATCCGGATGGATGTAAACTCCAACCCAAACATGACAGGGCATGTCGACGGGGAAGTTATCCGGCTGATCCGCGCAAACAAACCCCAAAGGGTGAGAATTGGTTGGGAACGGTTGAAACAGCCAAGGGGAGGAGGGAGGTCGGTCACCGAAGAGGCGAGCGATTGAAAGACCGAAACTGCGAAGGCGTTGATCAGTCGGCCGCTGTAATTAGTAGGAGAAGCGAATAAAGTTATCAGATCGAACCCATGCCATGTCGCTGGGTATTGGCGTTAGTGGAGTAAGTCGAGGGTTACACTAGCAACGGGAGCTCAGGCCGGAGCCTCAGGAGAACGCTCGCGACAAGCTCGAAATGAAGATGAGACATCACTAGACGCGCAGGGAGACGCGAGCGGGCCCTGCTTCGCGACATCGCGTAGGTCTTTGATTTGAGATTTCAAGTGTGCTTGCTCGTTTGCGTTGGGAGGATTTACTAGCGTGGTGTCGACCGGGGGGTTGACAGCAGCCGGTCTCGGAGATTGAATACAATCAGATTAGATGCGATTGATTTGATGAGATTGATAATGTGCGATAAGATTGGAGTGTGTCTTGCTTTGTTCCGGTGGAAAAGCCAAACAGCCCCAGCTGAATTGGCTGGACGTCATGATTGGATGAAAAGGTTACGGACAGGGATCGGATGGTTCAATGCGTGTGGCATTCCGTCAGGAAAAGCAAGGTGCGGAAATGGTTGGTCCATTGGGCAACACGAGATGAAGCATCCCTCATTTCGTTTGGTCGTCTGGCTCAACGCGGCCGATCTTCTTTGCTTGTGACGTTTTGTCTTGTGCAACCACCTCGGAGATGGGCGGTCGAAGCGTGAAAGGCAAGCCCAGAGGAAGTTTTGTCACGTTATCTTATGCAGCAGACAGCATTGCGAACCCAAATGCAAAGTCTAAGAGCATGTTGAGATGGGCCGAGAGCATCAGAAGATCAGAAATCTGATACGCTCACGTGAGCGGTCTTGTTGAGAGCCGACCGTCGTTGCCCGAGTCTAGAGATGGGGAGACGGCCGGAATTCCTCGGTTCGGCAACGGCAGCCGGGGCGCGTGTTTACGGAATCCGGCGAATTTTGCCCAATCCCACCTAGGAGATGAGCGGGTGACCAGCGTTGCATTCCGCGGGACACCTTTCGTCAGTTATGCAGCATGGAGGTCTGCACGCGGAGCTGATGCTGGTGGTTCTTGGGATTTGACAGTTGATGCGCAACAATCAGATGGTGACGGCCAGCATGGGGGGAGACTCTGCTGTGTAGGGTAGGGAATCGGTATACAGTGTGCGATTTTGGAAAAAACTTAGAAGGGAGCCGGCGCAAAGGAGTGGCGACCCAACGGCTCATGGCTCGGCATTGTGGGCTGACTCGACAGGGCCTTTGACCGAGTCTTGCTCGTGCTTGGCGTGTTTTCCTTTTGGTTTTCGGTGAGCGGTGAATCGTATTGCAAGTCGTTATTTTGGGCCTGGCCATGGTGCTGTTTCCATCGAATGACCGTGGTGCGCAGAGAAATTGCTTCGTTAAGACGTTGGGTCCAATTCGTGACGGGGGGCTGAGCTCGCCCAAGAATGTCTGGGGCTCTGGGGGTGACCATTTTTGTGGAGGGACGAACCCTACCGCTTAGTAGAAGGCATGCCCAAGCAATAATGCCTCTCTGACGACTCGGGGGTGGCTGATTCCCAACGTGCTGGAACGCACTGTTTAGGAGTGCGTGGTGTGGTACGTAGGGCCTGGAGGGCAAGTCTGGGGTCGTGGCAGGACCCCGAGTCGCAGAGATAGGTGCTTCCGACGTTGCAATAGCGTAATAGGGGCTTCCAGGTCTGCACACTGTAGACGGAGCTTCTTTGACAGGACGGCGGAGCTGAAGATCAAGACCGGGAGAAGTTGGTGGTGCTGCTGCATTGGTGCCGCGGAGCGTGTTGAAGTGGTGCCGCGGGAGGTGCAGAAGACTGCCGTGTTGTCCATCTCCGAAGGTGGAGGGACAGTATCGGGACTCTGTACGGTTATCTCAGCGACAGAGTGAAAGTGAGGGGTGCGGCCACCTCATCGTGCGTAGCCGGTGCTGCACGATGGTAGCTGGATAGCATCACGGGAGAGCGCAATCGTGAGGGGGTATGGTGAAATGAGGGCTCTTTCAATGGCCAGCGAGTCCGGAGCAAGTTGGGCCCAGCATAATGGACCAGCAAGATGGATCTTGGAGTGCGCAAGCGGGCGAGGAAACCCCACACTCTTGTTCTGTGGCGGCGATATGCGATGCAGCAATGTACGATGTCGTTGGATGTGCAAGTACGGGGAACGGTGAATCGTCAGGTTTTCCAGTTGTGCGGGACAAGAGTCCACCGCAGTGCAGCAGAAATGGGCGGCGACCCTGGCACTGTGAGGATCGAAGCGCAAGCGAGCAGTCTGCTGCGCACGGTAGTGTACTTGGTACGGATATTCTACTGTGGCACATGTATGATGTGGTTAGAAAGCCCAACAAGAGTGGGTGAGCGGATCAGCTTACCTCATTTTACCTTTGGTTTCCGGCAACCGGCTCGGTTCCCATCACCTCTGCCAAGAGCGACGGGAAGTGACAAGACACAGAAAAAGCCAGGCGGAAGAAGACTGAGAAAAGCCGGGCAAGAAAAGCCGGGAAAAGAGGATGAATCGGGTAGGGGCGGGTGGAGTGGGGTGAACCGTGTAGAGTACCTAGGGTAGTAGTAGTACCTACCTACCTAGAGTGGTGTGGAAGCAAGGCAAGAAGGAGCGAGTGACTAAATTCGTACCTTCCACGTTAGCGGATCGGAACGTGGAAGGAGAAAAGATAGGAGATGCAATGCCTTCCGCTGCACTTCGGGCTGTGACAATCAATTACCTACCTTACCTACCTTGCCGGGCATGGCATTGACGTTGATGTCGACGCGTCCCGAGGTTCAATCGCTGCAGGAGAGGCTGAGCCCGAGATGTCGATTTGGAAAAGAAAGCCCCGAGGAAATTGGATGAACGGGATGGTGACAATGCAGATGCCAGAAGGTACCTATCTCTATACACAAGTCTCCTCGTCATCGGGGCGGGCGACATCGGCCAAGAGCAAAAGTGGAGGGTTGTTAGGAACACAAGAAAGGACCCAGCGCGCGGTCTCGTGTTTGGTGCCCGTGAACCGTGACTTCCTTCGGTTTTTCTGCAAGTGCTTGCATTTCTGATGCTACTACTTCGTAATCTGATTGATAAGGCAGGGCATCTTGGGCGAAAGCAGCCTGAAAAGCAAATGGAAATGTGGAAAGCACCCGAGCGCGAGTGCGAGCTCGGATGTGCTGGAATTGACGTGACGCATTCTCACATATTTCTTTCTTTTGCTCGGTAACGGCATGTCGTGACAGTCCATTGCAACAGTACCCGTAAATTGTATGTAATATTCTGTTTACCCAACCGTGCCAACCAAAATGTGCCCGGATCAAGGCTGAATCTTAGTCAACGGCGGTGCTGGTGTTACAGTCATCAGCAGCTGTCAGTGTCGCACATTATTATCCAGTGGCCATTCATCATCACCCAAGATGAACAAATGCTCTCTGCATGCTCAGGTCATCAATCAGCAATCAAATCATGATGCGCAGCCCGTCGTGGCCGCCGCCTGGGGGCCAAGCCAAGCCCGAAAAGAAGACGTACCTTGGGTACCGTGGACAGTGCCAACATCTCCGGCACGTGGACAGTGTGAACAGAAAGCCCCGCTCACTGTCCGGCTGCGGCCACTACCACGGTGCCACCGCTGTGGCGGCTAGGCCCAACAGGGGCATTCCAGGGTCCCCTGTCGCAACCCAAAAACGGAGACTTTGCACTCTTCTTCGTTTTCCTCACTGTTACTCGATTGCACCTGGTCGCTTTTTACCTTGCATTTGTTACGCACTTTAGTACGCAGTATACGGAGTACTCTTTCACTACTGGCCAGCCTGGATATCATCGAGCCCTTGTGCCTGTCTTTTCCGGCCGGTTCCAGTCGAAATTTAAAAACGTGCAGAAAAAAAGAGTACATTCCTTGCTCCAGTATCCGTACTCCCTCGGTCTAGAGATCGACAAACCTCACCTATTCCTTACCAAGTACGGATACCTACGCCCCTACTACTTCGTACGCCTTTTCTTTTCCCGGGGCCTGGACCAGGTTTTCCCACCATTTTTACGGTTTACCTCATCGACCTCTCCACGTCCCAAAAACTTAACATTCCTCGTCCTTCCGCCCGATACTTTCTCGCTCCTTTTCTCTTTTCCCTACCTTACACCACACACACCTCGGCTTATCTGATCAAACTTATCTGATCAAGAATTCCACAACCTGGTTTCATCCATCTGACAACCCACAGCCACTCACCAACTCCTACAAGACCCCTTCTGTCCCGCTCTCACCACAGCATGCTGAGGACCTACTGACTATCCGCCCCTCCGTCCTTTCACTCACGTATACTTTACGCCGTCCTCTACGCCAAAGTCTTTTGGCCCACGGTCACCCACCAAAGTCGTATAGGTCATCGGTACCCGTATTTCCGCCACCTAAACAACATCCTCGACGACATACGCAGAAACATCGTCATGCACAGCACGATGGCGACCACGGCCATGGCTTCCCAACTCATCGGGGCTACCAGCAACTGCATTCCCGAGGAGCCCAGCGTTTCTTCTGTCGCACCTTCCCTCACCTACTCGGAAGAGTCAGAGGATCAAGATGAGGAAATCCAAGCCCCTAGGAGGCGGCGCGCTTCTACCCGCCTCATTGCCCAGAGCCCTGCCGACATCCAGCGTATCACGGGCGAATCGACAGCTCAATTGATCCAGAGATGCTGCGGTGGCGGCTGCTGCATGAAGTTGGGCGCCAAGAAGGAGGGCCTCGAGTACGAGAGCATCCCCTTCCCCGATAACCACGCGTACAAGTCACTCGCCCTTAAGATTGGCGACATTCCCACAAAGTTGACCAACATCGCCGACCTGCCCGAGCAAACCGTCTTCTTCGAGCCCGTACCTCGTTCCACTGCGACCCCTGCCGTCGCCTCGTCTCCGACAGACTCGGCAATCTCTCTGGGTGCTGATGCGCGCGAGGACAAGACGGCAGACGCACTCGCCACCGTCCAGAACCAGCTCAAGGACTTCACAATCGACAACATCGATACCGCCCGAGAGCCTCCGAGATACGTCCAGCCTCACCCGCCTTACCACGTCTACGCCGCACGTATCGACTCGACCCGTGAGTTGACTAAGCCCGGCGCCGAGAAGCGCACCTACCACTTCGACCTCGATATCACAAGTTACCCTGGCGAGGAGGACATGGACTTCAGGGTCGGCGGTGCCATTGGTGTTATGGCACCCAACGATAAGGATTGTGTCGACGATGTTTTCGACGCCCTCATGGTGCCTCGGTTCCTTCGGGACAAGCCGGTCCTGATGAAGACCACCAAGGGCCGCTGGCCTACCGTGTGGGGCGACGACCAGGCCCGCGAGATGGTCACCACGCGCCGGGACTTGCTTACCTGGTGCTCCGATATCCAGTCCTACCCCCCGACCAAGCAGCTTCTACGCATTCTTGCCGAGTACGCCGAGGACCCTAATGAGAAGAAGTTATTGACGTACCTTTGTGCCGCCGAAGGCCAGGGCGTATTCTGCGACTTCCGCACCGGACCACACGTTTCCCTCTCCCAGCTCTTGCACGCGTTCCCCAGCTCCCACCCGCCCATGGACCTCCTGCTGTCTTCCTTGCAGACGTTGATGCCACGCTTCTACTCTCTGTCCAACGACCCGCACGACGCCTACAAGACGCGCGATGGCAAGGTGCACCGGCTGATCGAGATTGCCGTCACGGTTCATGAGACTGCTGATTGGCGTCGCGGTCTCCGTACCGGTATCGGCTCCGGTTTCTTCGAGCGCCAGGCCCAGAAGTGGTTGGAGGCGAAGCGCAACGGAGAAACCCCAGAGATCCACATCCCCATGTTCAAGGGCCTCATGGCCAACCCTCTCGCCAAGCAATTCGTCTCCGACGGCCCCATGCTCCTCATTGGTGCTGGCGTTGGCATCGCTCCGTTCAGAGGCTTCGTCCAGCGTCGCTTGAAGACGGCCAACTGTGCAAACAAGGTCTGGGTTCTCCAGGGCATTCGCGACTCGCTCGTCGACGAGATCTACAGTGGCGAGTGGGGTGTTCACGAGGACGAGGTCAAGCGTGTTGTTCAGAGCCGTCGCGGCGAGAGTCGTTACGTCCAAGAGGAAGTGCGCAACCAGGCCGACCTGGTATGGTACATTGCGAACGCTGTTGACGGCCGCGTCTTCGTGTGCGGAAGCACCAAGGGCATGGGCGAGGGCGTTGAAGAGGCTCTCGTCGACGTGGCCATGCAAAAGGGCAACCTCGAGCGTGAGGAGGCCAAGAAGTACTGGGAGCTCAAGAAGGAGGCCGGCCAGTACATTGCCGAGACGTGGTAAGGTGCTGGTGGGCGGGCAGACCCCCGCCATTTTATAAGTCTAGCATCCTCTTACCAAAGGCCCCAAAAGTCCGCAAGTCCCGGAGAAGGATGCGAACTCGGGGATTTTATGGTCGGGGCGGGCGGCTTACTGCTGACGCGGACGATCATTCGGTGCCTGGCG